GTGTGTGTGTGTGTGTGTGTGTGTGTGTGAGAGAGAGAGAGAGAGAGAGATAGAGAGAGAGAGAGAGCTGGACTCCTTGCTCTCCGTGAGGTGCCAAACACCTTTGGTGTCCAGAAATGACGATGTAGTTTCCAATGCTGTTGTGTTGACTGATTCCAATTGCTTTGTGCTGCTGTTTTTGGTTCAGCAACTATTTGCTGCTCTTACATCTGTGGCGAAAACGGCTGCTGAGGTGCTCGTCAACAGGGACAGAGTAGTTACATTGATGCTCATGCGGTTGACCGAAGCTCTTGTGATTGCACTCATGGGTGACGATGCTTTCTGGACTGTTATGGAGAGTAATGAAAGGCCCCTGGGGCACATAGGCCTGCAGCAGGTGCGTTACCATTTCCCTGCCATGAACAATCAATCTTTGTCCATAGAGTGAATCAGGATAGATCCAATCTATAACTCTACCTCTGAACACCTGTAGGCTCACAACCAAGATGGTGTAGACGAGGAACCAACCCCCTGTTGAATACCTTATTTAAATCAGATGCACTCCAACCTGTAGCAACTAATATGCCATTGACTCGTTGTATAGATGGTGACCTTGTCCTCCCGACCTCTACAGCCATTGCAGCCCATGTTGGACTCAGGCTGGATGCAAGACCAAAAATTAAGCGAGGCTTCCGTAATTGTTGGTTTTGTTGCTTTGCTGCTTTTGAGATGTGAGCCAGCGGAGGCAAGGCACACCAGCATCGTTGGCAGTACCTTGGCTTGTCCGTCACTGGGTCCCATCATGCCCCATCCAAACATAGTGCTGCCTTACCGGATTATTTTCATTTCTGAGCAGGGTTGCACCGGCGCCGACCGCCGACCCCGACTGCCGACCGTTTTGTCCCGACCGGTCGGGGCCAACCGGTCGGCGGTCCGCCGACCAGTCAGAAAACAGGCATCCGCTGCTTTTTTTTTTTTCTGATTGCGCAGCCTTACTGCGCTTGCTGAGTACAGCCCAAATCCGCAGAGAAAGTTTGTGGGATGGGGGAGGGGTATGGGGGGTTGGGGTTGGAGCATACCTGCGTCGCAAGTGTGCTGGTCACCGATGCGCAAAAAA